GAGGGGCTTCCAGCAACTCTCATGTTACCTTTGACACCCCTGGAAGCATCGCTAATTCTTGATTCTGATTGTTATTGTCAGGCACCACCATGTCAGTTCCTACTCATCGCCACCCTGTGCACAGCAGAGCGAAATACACTGTGGGTCTTGATTCCAGAGGAGCACAATACGGGGGTGGGGATGAGGAAGTCAAGCTGGATGATTTCAGGGAGAGTGTAGATGTGGCCTTACGTTTCTTGGGCAACTACTGCTTGGCAGATACTGCTCTGATTGCCTTGTAGGTTATTATTTCATTAGGGGGTGCCCCGGAAGACAAGCTATGAAAACCCTATGGAGCAGTTCTACTCTGCACACATAGGGCACCATGGTCGGAATCGACCCCATGATAACTAACACCACCACCAAACCATTCCAGAAAGAGTGAGTGCAGCAGAAGGGTAATCCCGTCTCACTCATTGAACAATTGTTGCTGCTGTTGGCTACTGTCAAGTCGATTCAGACCCCTGGCACCGGGTTACAGAGTGGATTTGCCCCAGAGGGTTGTCTTTGTTGCAATCTTTATGGCAGCAGATCTCTAGGCCTTGCTTCTATAGTTCCACTGGTGGGTTAGAACCACCAACCTTTAGGTTAACAGTGGAGTGGAAACCATTAGTGCCACCCAGGGACCTGATTGCTACATGGTCATCTCTGATGAAAGATACTCATTGACTGCTTCAAGTGCTGGGCAGTGACAGTTTACCAGCAGCCCACTTCCACTTAAACACATGGCATGGGATAAGGGCACGGTTTCTCAAGTTCAGGAAGATCTACCATCCCCAGCTATGAGATCTTGGACAAGATTCAACACATCTCTGCACCACAGTGTTCTTGTCTGTAAAATGCACCTAGCTGTGGTATTCACAGCCCAGGGTTGCTTTTCAGGATTATTCAATATGGTGATGCACATACAGTGGTCAGCACAGTGCTTGGCCAATGGAAGTGCTTGCTAGAGGCTATTAGGTTATTAAAGGTCATTGCTGTTACCAACGTCATTATGAAGATGTATAAGCATCACACCCTGAGGACAATACACTAGACAACCACAGCTCTGCCTGTGACCTGTATGCGCACATCCTGAAGGTGACACGCTGGGCAACCACAGCTCCGTCTGTGACCTGTACCCTCACATCCTGAAGATGACACACTGGGTAACCGCAGCTCCACTTGTGACCTTACCCTCACACCCCAAGGACGACATGCTGGACAACCACAGCTCTGCCAGTGACCTGTAGTCCCTAACATGATCAAAGACCTTCCCATCAGTATCTCTGATTCACTTCCACAATGGCCACATAAGGCCTGAAAGGTCATGGATAAGTCAAGTGCATTCTGCTGACAAGGAAGTCAAAGCCCCAGAGGAGAAAAAGTCATATTCCAAATACCCCAAGGCAAAGTGGTCAGGAGGAGGGGGCACACCCCTAGTCCTGACCTTCAGACCAACAGGGACGTGAGTGGTGGCTCTGCCTCTCTGAGTTTGGCCCTGTGCCTCTGTCCTTCCTCCCCAGGTGTTGACCATCAGTCACCTCCAGGGACTGGCACTGGGACAAGAGTTCTCCATTGAGTGGAAGTTTCTGGTCAGTGACCTGGAGAAGTTCAACTGCTACCCGGAGGATCCATCTGTCTCAGAGGAGAGCTGCAGGCAGCGGGGTTGCCTATGGGAGGTGACTGTCAGAGTGGGTCACCTTGCTGGGTGGGGGGTTCTAAGACTGTCCTCATGTAACTCAGGGGTGCTCATGGAAGGTGACTCTTACACTGGGTCATCCTGCTGGGTTGGGGGTGGCTCTAGAACTGTCCTCATGAAACTCAAAGGTGCCTATGGGAGATGACTATTAGATTGGGTCACCATGCTGGGCAGGAAGGTTGTGGGAACTGTCCCCATGTAAGTCAGGGGTGGGGCTGTGGAAGGTGACTGTCAGACCTATCATGCTGGGTGGTGGGGGGTGATTGTAGGAACTGATCCCACATAGCTGGGCACCTACAGAACACTGTCCCAACCTTGGTATTTGATCAGTGATCATTCTTCTGGATGAAAACGACAGTGTGCCAGGCATTTTGTCAACCCTAATGACAGGCAATCAGTACTGCCCTCTGGTATCCCAAAACACATTGCCATGTTGGCTCTCTCATTCCTTCAACCACATCATTAACTCCCCCTTAAACTCCCCCTTAAACACAGGTAGGCTTTGCACTATGCACTGAGTGTTCTAAGCTGTCTCTTCCCATCTTGGAGAGAACCCGGGGGAAGGTAGGGCAGGGCTCTTTCTCCCCAGCTACCCTACATGCCGTAGAGTAGAACCATACTCCACAGGGTTTTCTGTGGCTGACTTTTCAAAGGCTGTTTGCCAGACCTTTCTTTTGCGGTGCCTTTGGGTGGCCTGGAACCTCTAACTGCTCGGTTAAAGATGGGCACATTAACCATACTACCCAGAGACTCCCTGTGAACAGAGAAGGAAAACCCAAGAACACAGTGCAAGTTACCCTAGGGCAACGAGGTTACTGACCCCAGAGCAGGGCCCTGCCCAGCATTCTACCCTGCACCTGCTTCCTGCAGATCTGGTGTGTCATTTTTCAATGGGCTGGTGTTCGAGATGTAGGCCTGGCAACCACCTTCTTTCACAAGCAGCCTGGAGGTGTGGGGAGGGGCTGACCAAGACCCCCTGTTTTCCAGCTCACAGCTGTCCCCGGGGTGCCTTCCTGCTTCTATGACACCACCCCCAGCTATGCTGCCACTAACATCCAGTACCTTCCTGCGGGCATCACTGTGGACCTAGGCCTCCTGCCAGACCCCCTGGATGCTCCTCCAACTGTGGGGGCACGCCGCCCACCCTGGGCCCCTGCCGCTGACCCTCTCCCTGCCAAGATCACCTCCCTGCACCTGAGCGTGGTCTACCACACGGACAGTATGCTGCAGTTCAAGGTAATGGCCTGCAGACCTCTGAGCCCTCAACTCCCATTTTAGAGATATGGGGAGGGGGGCAGGGGCGGAGCCAGCAGACGGGCTCAGAACCACCAGCCTGGGAACTGAATAGCAAAGGGTTCCTGTATTGTGACAAACCCACACGACCACACACACTCACTCCAACTCAGAGCAAGTGGTTCCCAGCAATGGTTCTCAGAGTGAGCTGGGTCACCATCACCCGCAGGGCTTGGGAAACCCCTGGTCCTCGCTGCCCAGTTTCTGATAAGGCAGGTCTAGGGTGGCTGAGAGTCTGTTTCTATCAGGGTCCTGCACTCCAGGACCCTGTGAGCCATCATCCACTCTGGTCAACAGAAATGGGTTCCAGTCATGTGTGCTAGTTGCCATGTTTAGAAACTTTTTAAAAAATTGAAACTAATTTTGAAAATATTTTATTTATCTATTCTATTAAAAGGAGCTCTGGTGGCATAGTGCCTAACCAGAAGGCTGGCTGTTCAAACCCACCAGCCACTCCTTGCAAGGAATATCGGGCAGTCTACTTCCATAGTGATACCACCTCCAAAACCCAAGGAGGGGTGGCTATGAGTCAGATCCGACTCTGTGGCAGTGAGCTTTTTTTTTTTATTTTATTTTTATTCCATTAAAAATAGTATCATTTCGCCACGGGCTCCCCGTAGTGATTACGAGATCATTCACAGTCTTGAATCCTGCCAAGTCCCCCAAATCCGCAGGGTATCTTGCACTTTTCAAACTGATACACCACACAGGCCTCACGTGGCCTGGGCGCTTGGACAGCCCAGCTCTAGGCCACATTCCACACATCCATGTGGGATGCTTGGCCCAGGGTCTCATGAAAATGCAGTGTGGGTGGAAGGTCTGGTTGGGACGTTGCTGCTGCTACACCCCCGGGGCGCCGCTCTGTGAAGCCAGGGTTCAGGGTCAGCTGGGCTGTGGCCTGAGGGGCAGAGCATGTTTGACAGCAGAGGACACAGAGGGGTGGGTAATGGCAGTCCCCCCAGGTTTTCACACAGTGCTCTGCCAGGTGGGCAGGCAGAGTGGTGCGCCCCTGCTTGAGAAATACAGGTGTGGTAAGGCAGGCAACACCTGGAAGAGCGAAGATCGAAGATCAATAGTCAGATGGAACCTGGGCCCGTGTGTGAACTCACGTCTTTAACCCTCACACACATGCATGTGCTCTCACAGTCAAATGCACATGTATGTTCACACACACATATGCACACACATCAGTCATACATATAGTCATGTGCACACATGTGTTACATACACAATCACACACACACACCACTCATACATACTCATTTATATACACACACAGAGGTACACATATGTCCTCACATACACACATACTTATACATATAGTCATACATGTGCATGTTCACACACTTACACACACCACACACATGTGCTCACTCATAGTCATACACGCATGTTCACAAACACGATCATATGCACACACACCACACATACTTAATCACACACACAGTCATATGCATGTACATGTCCACACACACTCATACACACCACTCATATACACAGACACAGGTACACACATGTTTACACAAACACTTGTACAAATACACTCACACCCCTCACACACATACTCATACACACACATGCCCATATGGTCACACACTCACACACCTCCACACACTCATACATGTTCACACACATTCATACCCAAACACACTCATACACACATGCACTCTCACACACACTGACATGCATATTCACACTCTCGCATACATGCTCACTCACACTCACACACCTGTCCCCCATGGTGCCCAGCACTCTTGATCTTGACCTCTGCAGCAGAAGAGGGCATGCATGAATGAGTGTGTACAGTATATGTAACGTTCCTGGCTTTGAAGGAGCAGCACTGAGGACACAGCTCAGCCTTGTTCCCAGCACGGGGCCGGGCTTCCCATCACTTGCATAGGGCTGTTAGATGCCTCATAATGTGGTCCAAACTGGCCAGAAAACCTGGGAACCACATTGTCTGGGCTGGCCTGGGAGTTTAGGCCTGAGACCCCACCAGAAAGCTTCCTTCTCTCTCCTTGCCAGATCTTCGATCCCAACAACAAAAGGTATGAGGTCCCGGTGCCACTAAACACCCCATCCACCCCCATGGGATCCCCTGAGAAGCGTCTGTATGACGTCAGCATCCTGACCAATCCTTTCGGGATCCAGATTCGACGCAGAAGCTCCAACACCGTGATGTAAGGAGCCCTTGTTTGGTGGAAGGGGCCGAGGCTTAGAGCAAGTGAGACAGTCATCTCAGAGATTCCATGTGAAGTATGTGCTCATGTGGGTGGAAGAGAGAAGACAGCTACTCCCCTGCATATGGGAAATTCATGTTCTGTTCATCGTTAACTCAACAAGAGAGAGTAATCAACCAAAGGGGTCATAAAAATGAATTAGATCTTTGATTTCAGAGAAAGAAAATATATCTTCCCAGCATCCTTCCTGTTAAGTAGGGAACAGAAAACTCTATTGAATAAGTACAGCACACAGCTGAGGGCACAGATCAGTCCTTTACGGCTCACTTAGGGATGACAGGTGAAGAGGCAGCACAGAGAGGCAAGGGCTCGGGAGGAGGAAGAAATGGGTGTTCTCCATCTTTGCATCTGACGCCGCTGGAGACGTAGAGGCTCTCACAGTGCTAGGCAGGAAGGAGTTGCAC